TATTTGGTGCGGTGACCTGTTTGGATAAACTTCGTTTTGGTAGCTTATGTATTTTCAAAACGCTGAAAATAACGTTTTCACTCCGCACCTATCTAGGTGTAATGACAGCTGTCTGACTTTTTTTAAAAAATAAAAATTTGTATTAGTCAACGCATCTAGTTTATCAACAGATTATTCAATAAGCTGTAGCTGCCCCAAACAGACCCTAAAACGGAAAATTAAAGCCGATAAACTTACGATAAATATGGATAGTTTTTTGTTTCATGGAAAAATTAGTAAAAAAAAAAACTTATCTGCAAACGCATTATGCGATCATTTGACTTTGAAAATGTATTGTAGAATTTGGTTTACCGGAACATTTCTTATTGCCAAATAAAAACAAAAATCTAGCTGTTTTTTTCTTAAATATTCAAGAAAAAAATTAATTATTTAGTCTCATAAAATAGAATAATAATAATGTTTTTTTAATATCTTCAAATGGTTGGTAGCACAGCTGTTCTTATCCCTGTATCTATTAATTTTATTTTAAATTTTGGGTCAGAATTAGTTTTAATATACATTATAAGAATTCGTCTGTGCATTATTATATATATATATATATATATATAATATATATATGATGAGTATTATTTTTAAAAATTTTAATTCATTGCGGGGATACAAAGATTTATATTCAATTAAAAGTATTAATGAAGAAAGTAGAATAAAAATTATTAAATTAGATTCAAATGATCTTTTAAATCTTGTCACAATCTTTAGCATCTTATGGCTACGTGATTAGGGTTGTCAAAAACAATCTCTCTTTGTTCGTGAACGACTCATGTTCGGCTCGCTATATACACACGTCATATTCAAATCATTGCGAATTTGCAAAAGCTAAAACTATGAGATATAATTTTATAGTGAATCTCTAAAATTAAGTGACAATTTAAGGGAAAAAAAAATGTAAGATGATAATTCTTTTTGCAAATAATTATTGCTCTTTGTTTCCCTCGTTTAAGGAGTTGGGAACCAACGGTCGAAATTTGAAATTGCTTAACCTCCTTCGGCTCTCCTCATTTTCCGAACCACGCGTACAGAATATTCTACGCGACTTTGTTATTTATTTAATTGTTTTTATTTTATGAAAATTAAAAAATAGTTTTTTTTTTTTTTGAAAAAAAGATAGTAATTTACAACATAAAAATTCATATTTTGACTTAATAATAATAATAAAAAAATAAAATAAAATAAAATAAACACCACAATTAAACAAACTAACTGCAACAACATCATTTAGACTTCATCCTGATGACTGCTGTTTACGTAAATCCCCTTCTTTTAACCCTTCAACACTCAAAATATTGTTATTTGTAAAATTAGCAATCCTTTTTATACTTTTTTTTACATATTTACCCCTTATATATTTTAATATTTATATTTAAAGCCTAATCTTTCTATTTTTACATATATATGGGTGGAATAGGATTATGTTCAGGGTAGACAGTTGCGCCCCTGAAATTCATAATTTCTTTATATGAATAATAAAAATTTAATTTTTATATTGTTCGCCTCAATATTTTTTTATTCCGTACTAAAAAATATTAAAAAGATATTTAGTGATTTTGCTCACAGTAAAAATACGTTGCTCGACTTCTCTTAATGTATGTGTCACCTTATTTCACTTTTAGAGATCACATAATTCTCGTATATTTACATATTTTACACCAAAAATTTTAATTTTTACGTGCATAACATTTAAATATTTAATATCACATGAAAAATAATCACTATCATTCTTACTTTTAAGAAACTAAATATAATATTATATGCATGGGTTTATCACATCAATATATTATAAATGCAAACATTAAAATATAGGTTTTTGGCATGTAAATATAAGAATTGAGTGGTATGTTTGTAAATTTCCCTATTTCTCATGTGAGGGTGGTATAAAAGTAAAATGTAAAATTTAGTTGTTAGATATGTCAATACATAGAAATTAGGTGGCATTTATGTTAAAGACTTCCTTTTTTTATTCTTTTGGTTGTGTGTGCGGGAAACCTCTTCTTTTACCTATTGTCATGAAGCCATGGCGTTCTCTTCTTCTTCCAGCCCAATCGATCTAACCCTTTCTTCTACCCCATTTCACAGACCCAGTCCCAAATCTTCCATAAAACTCCAACCTTTGCATCCAATTCCATCGGAACCAATCCTTCTTCCTCCAACTCCGGATTCAGGCGATGAAGACCGATGTTCGCCGCGACAAGAAGAAGATCAACAAAGGCTGCAATCTCCTAACCTTGCTCTTCGGCCGCGCTCCTCGCTCTTCATCCAACAAATCCACCCCAAACCCCAATCTAGCAGTACCATCTTCCCTGGCGAAACCTCATCCGCCGAGGTCGGGGAACCCTAAAGTAATCTCCCACCCAACTGCCTCCCATTCGATCGCTCAAAATCCGTCGAAGAAACCTGCCGCAGCTCCGGCAAAGAAGAAGCAAGTCCTCACGCCGGGTAATGGCCTCTCCGGCGAGCTCGATATGATGATCTACGACTATCAGAAGGCAAAGGGTAACAGCAAATTGGTGCGAGCTTCTTCGAGCAATGTGATGGTGTACGGTCAATTAGGCAACATTTGGGGATCGAATGGTGGCATCAATGGCGGAAAGGATAGGACTTTGAGGAGGAAAGCAGAAGAGAAGACGGAGGCTTTGTGGAAGGGAATGGATGCTGAGAAGTTGAAGGAGATGGGGAATGAGGAATTTAAGGCTGGGAGGCTCAGTGAGGCGTTAGGTCTCTATAAGAAGGCGATCGAGGTTGATCCTAAGAAGGCTTCTTATTGGAACAATAAGGCGGCGGCGCTCGCCGGAATGGGGAGGCTGATTGAGGCGGTGGGAGACTGTAGGGAGGCGGTAAGGATTGACCCTTCATATTCCAGAGCTCATTATCGGTTGGCGACGTTATATCTCAGGTAACTATGGATTAGATATGGATCATGATATTATATGCAAACTTTGTAGGTGTGGATTGATGATATTGGAGTGATATTCATCAAAATATCATCTTAATATCACCTCAATACCAACAATGCATATATGTAGATAGCACAAGTAATATTCGCTCGAAGATTACATGTTTATTGATATTTTTTTGTGGTTTTGAATGTTTAAATGTAATTTCTTGTTCTGTTTATGCTTGTTTGAGTTTTCTTTTTTTAATTTGAATTTGTTTCTCTTACATAAATTTAACTTTTTTCCATGATTCAACTAAATGTCAGAAGACTGGCTTGTAAAATATTACAAATTAAGTTTCTTAACTTATATTCCAAGTTATGCCAATAGTCTTTTTGTAGGGGAAACATAAAAGAGCAAAGTGTCAAAGTAGTCTCGGTTATTTACATCAATTTTTTCGGTCTTAGAGTTCATAAAAATGTCAGATTGGTCTCTACATTTTTTAAATTGAGGGTCTCTATTTTTGCCCAAATTTACAAATTTTTGGGCCAATATGATACTTTTATAAATTCTAAGACAAATGATCCCATGTAAATAATTGAGGATTATTTTGACATTCTAGTCAGAAATATATATATATATATATATATATATATATATATCAGTTTTCCTCTTATTTGGTCACGTGCTCAAATGTTGCTTAGCTAATATTTAAAAAATGTTCTTTTATGTTTAACTTGCAAATGAAGCTGAGCCAAAGGCCAACTGATTGTTGTTTTTAGTCTCCAACATAACGTTTACTGTATTCTAAACTAACCTAACACAGAGTATCTAACTTCAATCCAAAGTCATTCCTTCAAAAAATTCAACTCACAGGTTAGGAGAAGCTGACAGAGCTGCTCATCACTACAAACAAGCTCCAAAAGTGGCTGATACTGATGTCATCTCTAGAGCAACAAATCTCCAAATCCATATTCTAAGATGCGGCGAGGCTCGGAAACTCAAGGAGTGGCAGGACATGCTCAAAGAATCCCAATCCGCCATTTCTGGCGGCGCAGATTCAGCTCCAAATGTATTCATTTCACTCTGTCAAACTTTCCATAAAGCTTTCATCATCTCCCAAATTTTCAAGCAATTCATTTGATGGTTTTTTTTTTAATGTTCTAAAGATGAAATCTTTACACTTCATGGCTTTCGAAGGTATTTGCATCACAAGCAGAAGCGCTTCTGAGACTTGGCAGGCATGAAGAGGCCGATTCAGTGCTTAAGAATGGGCCCAACTTTGATACTGAAGCTCTCATAACTTTCTTTGGTTCAGCATACATCCTCATGATCCAAGCAGAAGTACATTTGGCTTCAGGAAGGTCAGTTCTACGTTCTTAAAAAACATTCAGGTGATGTCTGGCAACAGATGAGATTTAAGGTATCAGAATTTAATAAATCCTGTAAATTCGGATTTATTTAATCCTAAACGGGTTGAATCTGGAAATAGTGTCTTGCAACAGATTTGCTAAATTCTGTAAGTCCAATAAACAAGTGGCAATTTCTTCCAGAATTTAAGAAGTTGTTATGAGTGTTGGAGAAACTCAGAAGCCCGCAAAGTTAAATCCCAAGTCCCCTGAAGTTAAATCCAGTGCTTCGTGGGATTTTGTAAATCTGGGATTTACCGCCGAAATCCACAGAATCTGGATTTACGGCATGTAGGGATTTATTTTGTCCAAAATGCAGGATTTGGCTTAAATCCTGGGTTAAATCCACAACCCCTCAAGCACTGCACAGTTTGAGCTTACTAAAAAGTTTAAAAATTTCATCTTTTTCGTAGGTTCGACGAAGCAGTTACCGCTATTGAAAGGGCGGCTAAGAACCAGAACAACAGAGAAATCAGTGCTGTAGTTACCCGAGTAAAAGCTGTTGCATCTGCTCGAAAAAAGGGCAATGAGCTCTTCAAAGCTTCGAAGTATACGGAAGCATGTATTGCTTATGGAGAAGGGCTTCACCATGATCCGTCGAATGCCATTCTTCTCTGCAACCGAGCTGCGTGTCATTCGAAGCTCGGACAATGGGAGAAAGCAATTGATGACTGCAATAATGTTCTTAGTTTGAAGCCTTCGTATACTAAGGCTAGACTAAGAAGAGCTGATTGTTTTGCTAAGGTGAGTGATCCTTGCTACTGAACATTCCATACAGCCACTTAATTCATTTGAATTTACATATCTAACAACTTCAATTTGCTTTTTTGACATTTCACATCAAAAAATACCACCATTTTTAATTTGTGAAATACATCTTCTCATGTATGAGTGTAAAGTTTGAAGTTTAGGTGTTAGATATGTAAATACATAGGAATTGAGTAGTATGTATATAAATATTCCTTTATTAAATTATTGGTTTGGTTATTAAGGTGGGGAAGTGGGAGGCATCAGCACAAGATTATCAGATTTTGAGGAGAGAATTTCCAGGAGATGAGGAGGTGGCAAGAGCACTTTCAGAAGCTAAATCACATCTTCATCAGAGAAAGTCTTAGCTTCTTCTTGTATAAGGGAGAAATCTTTACGAAACTGTAAGTTTTGTTATATGATAAAAACGATTTAAAAATGCTTAAGATTGCTGAATTCTCTCTCAAAAAGCAAATAGAATAGTCTGTTTGAAAAATGGGCTGTTGGTCAATAAGAAACATGTCAAATGATCAATGTTTTTGTTTTTTTTTAATTTATATGACTTTGCAAAAATCATTTTTTTAAGTAGTTAATTAGAAGAATTGTTAAAGTGTTTTAAGTATGATTAGATATTTGAAATTGGTTTGTTAAAATATGCCACTCACCATTATCAAGTTGAAAAAACTGTAACTTTGGATTACCAGGGCAACAACCTGAGCTCTCTCACTCATTGAGATATTTTCTGCTTTGGCTTGATAGCTTATGAATTTGTTTAATTGGTTTAACTTCCTTGGAGATCACCTACCCTGAGAGTGCTCCCATGTGAGCATGCTTAATTTAAGGTAGGAATGTCAAATTGTTCTTTTGTGGGCCAGGTTCGGGTTTGATTGACTCGACCTGAAACTTGCTGACTTGAATCAGACCTGAATACCAAACAGGTCAGAAAGTCCGACTTAAACTTATCCTGTCTTCAATTTATTGACTTGAACACGACCTATATATCCCTTTTAACATAAGACATAACAACTATTCAGGTCAAATTCACATTGATTTTATATCAATCTCGGATTAATTTCGTGTTTGCAAGTTAAGTTCAAGTCAGCTTCGGGTTTGCTGATTATGTTCGTGTCAATTTTTGAGTTGACAAGTAAACTAGAACCCCGATTTTCTTAGATGAGTTCGGGCCAATTTTTTCTCACCCCTTACAAGTTAGATGTTACAAATCTCTGATGAAAATTTTAACTATTATACTAAAAGGCGTCTCGATTTTAGGAGTTCAGCATCATTCTCGTCAAGGGGTTTTAAACTAGTTTGATCAACTTATATTAATCACATTTTAGAATATTCAAGAAAAAAAGCTTATATATTTCAATAAATTTTGCATATTGATGTATTATAAATCGTTATTCTGATCATTAGTATTTGTTTCTTCACAGAACGGTACCTGCTCTTCTTCAGAAAAAAAAAATGAAGCAGGTGACGCATCTAGCTTGCATGATTGAAGAAGAGAGGACTTAAATACTATCCACAAATATATATATATATTTTTTCTTTTTTGGAAGATTTATATACATACCACTCAATTTATATGTATTTACATATCTATCACCTATACTTCAATTTTTACATAAATGTCATTTCAATGCATGAAAAGATATTTTTCACTTGTAAAAAGCTAAAATAGCGATATTTTTTATGTGGTATCAAAGACTTGAGTGGTAATATAAATGTAAAACGTAAAGTATAAATGTTAGATATTGTTGCGCATTGAAAGATTCAGGGTGATAGAATGATAATTTAATATCTTGATATAGTACGAAAATCTAGCGAACGCTCAAATAATAAAAAACTAGTAGAATGAGACGCCAGAGTTTTTTACGTGGGAAAATTTAGAAAAGAAAAAAAATATATACAGTCTAGCACAATCAAGAAGACCCATTATAGGTTTGCAAGTGCATATGTTAACTTTTCTCCTAAATTAGGGAAGATAGATTTATAAAGATGATAATCATAGATGTACAAGAGTAATCCTGTGATAATAGCTCTAATTGTGCTACAATTGTAGTTCTTGGCAATAATAGTGTGATTGGGCCGCAAATGCTGTATTTGATTGTCACAAGGGCAGTAATCTACCATAACTATTGTAGATGGCGGTTGTGATAGCATCATATGAAAATAAATGTTGTAGTTGAGAGACATAGTAATAATTGGCCATATAGGCTGTAATTCATAGCTTCATGTGTGTTAGTGGGTTGCAAAGGCCGTAATTGGAAGTTGCAGCAGTGAGCCATATAAATTGTAGTTGGTCACATAGATCATGGTGAAGAGTTACTTGCAGAAAACTTTAGAAGTCTTGATAAAGTCATCGAATTCTAAATAAGATGATTGTAAGCATTATTGTGGGATACTAAATCTTCAATATGACATTACTCATTGCCACGTATTGGAGGTATGTCATCACACCATTTTCGGGGTGTGTCGTTACACCGTAATTTGGGTGTGCCATTACACCATATTCGAGGGTGTGTTATTACACTATATTTGGGCTGCATCATTGTGCTTAGGACATTGTGTTACTCCGTATGCATGATACCTCATTACTTCATATGATACTTCGTTACTTTGCAAGATACTTTATTAATTAACAGGATACTTTGCTGCTTCACAAAGTTCACAAACGACTGTAGGCAGAGGGCAGCCTTTTGCAGTCTACAGCAGCTGACGACAATGTTTGACAATCATTAATAGGTACGAATGATGAAAGTTGTTATCGATGGGTTTTTGAATCTAGAACGACTCTCAGATTGGACTCCTCCCCTTCTCCTCCAGGTTCAAGTCTAGGCCCCCCTTCATTAAGGAAGTATGACTCTATTTATAG